AAATTTTTTTTAATCTTTATCTAAAGATATAACCGAAAACCATTTTTCTACTATTATAACATGCAGTATCGGTATATTTGAACTGGGAGATCAGCCCAAGGGAAAAGAGAAACATAAGGAAAATAAACTCAATGGCATTTGTGTCTATATGTCATATTTCCAAGAGAGATCGACTTAAAATTTGTCACAAAGAATATTGGAGATGATATCCCAGACATTGATGAGCTAAATGGTCTTTTAGTTAGATATTTGAGATGAAAAATCTTAGTTACTTGAGTTACTTTTTAGGGCTTGAAGTAATTTCTTCAAATGATAGCTACCTTCTTTTTCAAGTAAAATATGTCTCTTATCTTGTTTTTAAAGCTAAATTCAATGATAGCAAGAATAGTTTTATACCTCTTGAACCTAATGTTAAATTCAATCTATGGATGGCTCTCCACTTTTTGATCTTACTCATTATTGGCAATTAGTTGGTAGTTTAATTTATCTTATCACAACAAACCCCAACATAGCAGATGAAGTTCACATTGTTAGTCAATTTATAACTACTCCATCACGCTCTACTCCTTGTGCAGTAGTACTGCATGATACGTTATGTTAGGAGAACATTGTTTCATGGACTCCATTTTTTTGCTAACTTCTCACTTGGATTTGTGCCTACTCTGATGTCGATTAGACTGGTGATCCTTACAATCTCAAAGCAACCATTTTTATTGTCTTTTCCTTAGTAATTCTCTTATCTCTTGGCATTGCAAGAAATAAACTATTCCATCTTGCTCTAGTACTAAAGTTGAGTGTAGAGCTCTTGATGATACCATATCAGAACTTCTTTCATTATGGTGGCTTTTTGAAGATATGGTATCCCCCAACCTTTTGCTATTAATTTATATTAATTGTGATAATCAAAGTGTTGTACCTATGACTTTGATGATTACAAAATACATTTAAATAACTAATTTGTTTATCTAAGTATGTAGTTAAACTTTCAAAAGATTGCAAAATTAAATGAACTTGGATTGGACAAAACTAGGCCAAAAAGCCTGTGAATTGTGTAGGGAGTCGACTCTAAAAATCTACAGCTGGCTCTGGTGAACAAAACTACAGAGAGCCAGCTTTAGAACATGCAACTAGCTTTACGGGTGAAAGTAAACCTACAGTTTGGCATGCACGGAAAACGGAGGCAAAGCCGATTTTAACTTTGCAGCCGGCTATGATGACACATTTAATGCACGATGGTCAAGTTATTTAAAGATTCTTTAATCTTTTTAAAGTCAGATTTCTAAAGCTAGTTTTACGTTTTTGTAGCTGGTTTTTGAGAAAAATAGAATGTGCAGGAAGGCCGCAAAGCTAACTCTAGAATTCAAAGTTGGCTTTGGGGTTAAATCCGGCTCTATTGACAAGTTTGTAACTCGAACTTACTCAATTTGCAAAGCATTTAATGACCCCCAACAGCTAAACACGACTATTTTCGACTCAAGGGCTATAAATATGGTTGGTAGTAGATCTGGAATAAGTTTTTTTTTTAGCACCGTATTGAATATCTTTACCTATCAACTTGTGCTTTAATTTGAGTTTTTAATCTTTGTTTGTAATCCTCTTCTTGTTCTACTTGTGTGTTATCTTAAGGGGTGTGGTTATTTCTTCAAGAGTGATTTGTAAAGAGGATTTTTGGGGTTTAGCTTGTAAAAGGGGTGAGATTTGAGAGAAATACCTTTTTTCTTGTAAAAGGATTAAGTGACTTCTTTGAGTCACCCTTATTTTTATTAGTGGAGAGTGTGGAGGAAATCCTTGGTGAACGAAGCCAAGGTAGAGGACTAGGCTCCAAGTGGTTAAACCGAACCTCTATAAAATCATTGTGCAAGCCTTTCTTCCCTACTTTCTCTTTAATTTTTGTTTGGTAGTTGCAAAGAGGTGAAAATTTTTGAACTCCAATTCACCCTCCTCTTGGAGTGCATTGAGTCAACACAAAGTGCTATACAAATTGTTCACAATGATGTATTTCATGAATACATAAAGCATATCGAGATCGATTGTCACTTTTGTTCGTCATCATGTTGCAAAGGAAACTATTCATTTGATTTTCACTAGTTTTGTTGATCAACTTTCAAATTTGTTCACCAAGACTTACTTCTGTGGATGGTTCCAATCTCTTTTTTCCAAACTCAATTTGGTATCCTGAATACCACCTTAAGGTTGTGGGGATGTTAGAGTATTAGCATTCATACTATATTAGTATGTGCACATTAGCATTTATGTTAGAATATTAGTCTTCACACTAGATTAATATGTTCAAATTGTAATTGATTGTATACATTTAAGTTAATTGGTTTTGTATAAAAAAATATTCTATTGTATAGATCTACATATAGGTGCTTTGCATATACAATGAAAATAAAATAAAAAAATAATTAATAAACCTTTCTTAAAAAAACAAATCTATCATGTATAATAATATATCAATGATTATGTCACCCTAGTTTTTGGTGTTGCATGGCTAGATATGGTTGATGAATGGTGATGATGGCCTTTGGTTTCATATCATATATAGACACACTTCGCTATAGGTTATTAAACTCCACCCAAAACTTATATGAAAAGTTTGTCCTATAATCACTTAAGGAACGAAATTAGCAGATATAGAGTACGTACCCTGATGCCATGCAAAAGTTTTAGGGAACAAGTAAAAACGAATCCCAAGTACAGACCAACTGCTAAACCTTAGACAAAATGCCCTTTTCACTTCCTACATAATGTTGATGTGCGACGAGAAAAAAAAAATTCCAACTTTCATATAAATTTCATATAAAGGACAGGACAAGAGAGGACGTGTGTGGAGAAAAATCAGACATGCTTCATTTGTTTGCAATATCGCGAGGGATGCCCATATCTGCTATCTACTACTACTATTATCAAGCTAAAACTATTTCCTAGTTAACAACAACAAATTGATAACTTTCTACCTCAAATATCACCCTTGAGCTCCAAAATTCTAATGCCAGTCTGTCACCAATAAGTTGATATATATATATATATATATGGAATAATACATATTAGTCTCAATTTTTAAAAATAATCAAAGTTTCAAGTTTGAATTAGTTGTTCTATTTAATTAAAATTCTATTCAAAATTTAAAAAAATATTTTATTAAATGTTGATATATTACAATATATAATGAATTTCTAAATTTAAATATTAACATTTAATAGGATAAGATTTTAATTTTTAGATGTAAGTTGGGAATCTAATTGTTTTTGGAAATAAAGACTGATAAACACTAATTATATATATATCGACAGAAAATGTTTAGAAGGAGTGGGGTTATTGTAATATCCTAAATAGTTAATACCACACATTTTTAACGTAATTACCTATTATATCCTTTTATTACTCTTTTTCTCAAAAATTTTACATTTTTTTGTTTCTTAATAAATTAAAAGGTTTAATAATCAATTAATTAAAATAAAAAAATGTGGTATTTGTAATTGAAGGTATGGTAATAACATCAACCGTTTGAAAGGTAGATTGCCTCACTGGTTTTTATTAAAGAAACTCATCAAGGATTGCACTAAGCTAAATTGATTCTCTATTTAATTCTACATATTCACACTTATGATTTGATTTATTTACTACAATAATTACCTTGTCTATAGCTGATTTAGTTTTCATCTTTGTATAACTAACTTGGTTGTATCTCTATATACAATTTCTATGAAATCAATATAATGATCATCGCTTTCACAATATTGTATTGTAATAGCCCATTAGTGGCATCAAAGCCCTCTCCCTCAAACAAGTTCAAACCCAAACACCGCGGATGACAAAACCCTTTTAATCAGCTTAAGCAAAACTATCACCGCAACTCCTGTAGCCATTGTCACCCCAATACCCATGACCACTGCAACTGGAAATCCAAACATTAATATCATTACCTTCAATGTTGTTGTTTAATTTCCAGTGAAACTTATCGCTAGCAACTACATAAGTTGGAACAAACAGTTTATCTCATTACTCAAAGTTTACAAATTGTATGATTTTTTGCTGGAATAAAGGCAGTGTCTAACCAAATACAATATTCTAGATTCACCTTATGATGTGTGGGTAAGATAAAATTAGTCTCCTCAACATGCAATTATGACTTCAATTGTAGAATCCATTAAACATGCAACCTAATTTTTTCAATTTATATATTAGGGAGAGAGCAAACTACTCGAGATTAATTACTCATACTTATGGCTAAGGCAGCAACTAGAGTTTGCACATATGCTATATGTCATCGGTTACTCGCTGGTGTCCTGTTGGGATAGGAAATGAAGCAAAGCCAGACTTAGGCATTCGCTATATCCACAGTGTGCCTTGAATTACTTGAAGTTGAAGTTTATCTTTAAATAAGTAAAGTGTT